GGTGGTGTCAATCTCAGATGTCAGCCCTCCTAGCCTCCGGGAGGGATGCGAGAGAGAGGCATTGCCGTTTGACTTGTCTGGGAAGCTTTCTCAACTGGGTCCTTTGCTGTGCAAGTGGTTTCGGTTACATTATGGGCACATGTTGCATGCCGAGTTGCCAATTCCATGCAAGCGTCACTCCACGGCAGAGGTTTTTCCCCTGCCCATGCTTCTGGGAGGGCTGCCTCCCGAGGAGCAGTGTTGGTTGGAAGCAGCCGTTAGAGCTGTAAACTGGTTGGCTGTAGGAGATTTGCGCTTGTCTGAGAAGCCTGCCACTCCAACCCAGAAATCACTCCTGCAGGAATTGCAGTGTTCATTTGGTGCCTTGGGCCAGCTGGGATCTCGGCTCTTCGATGAAGCATCAATTGAGTCCTATTGGAAATCCAAGAGCATCAACGGTTATGGTGAGGAAGTTCACTGCGCGTTGCATTTCAACTGGGCTAATGTACAACATAGCTTGCCCACACGAGAGCTTGCAGGAGCTCTTGATGGGGTTGAGGTAGCTTCCGGAGGGATCAAAGATTTTTTGGAGCGACCCATGGCATATTTGAAGCCTGAAGGATCCCGGAGCTGGATGAAACCACCCAGGGTTATGGTCCGCGCAGAGGATTGGGAGGTTGTTGCTAAGGGTCTCATTGAGCGTAAGATATGCGACATCATTCCGCTCAGCCAAGTGATCCATGTTGATGGCAAACCCGTTCTCGGTGGACTATTCGGAGTGCCAAAAAACGAAGAAGTAGATGGGGTTCCTGTCTTGAGGTTGATCATGGACTTGCGTCCCATCAACAAACTGTTCGAGTCCATCGTAGGCGATTTGAACACGTTGCCAATGCTTGGGCAGCTTCTTCCCCTCGAGATTTTCCCTGAGGAGTCTGTTGTGGTTTCGTCGAAAGACATCAAAGCGATGTTCTACATTGTAGGATTGCGCGAATGTTGGAAGCCTCTCCTAGCTTTCGGGAGGGAAATCCCTGACCACCTGCGACCGGAGGGGATATCAGAGCCATGTGTGCTTACTAGCCGGGTTCTCCCTATGGGGTTTATCAATTCTGTCTCAGTTGCCCAGGCTCTTCACCGAAACATTGTCAATCAAGCGGTTGATGGATTAGGCATTAGCCGTGAGGCAGAGGTTAGACGCGATCAAGTGCTCCCACATTCGGCGATGCTTTACAGAGTCTACCTTGATAATTTTGACCTTTTGGAAAGGTCAAATCGAGAGGCAGCGAGTCTCTTGAGCGGGAGGCTCAGTGCGCCAGCTTCGAGGCTCAGGTGTCAGTATCAATCGTTGAACATCCCAGTGAATGAGAAAAAATCGGTGAAATCTTCTTTGGTGGCGGAGATGCAGGGAGGTTTGGTTGATGGGCATACAGGGACAGTCAGCCCAAAACATGACAAGGTTGCACGTTATCTGCGTGGGGCCTGGTTCCTCCTGCAAAGCAATCAAACCACCCTGAAGAGGGTTCAAATGGTGGCAGGGGGTTTGGTTTACCTGTTCAGCTACAGGCGATGCTTGATGAGCTGCTTGAATGAAGTTTGGCAGTTCATTTCAGGTTTCGAGGGCAACATGTGCATTTGGAAGCCAATACCGGACAGGGTGCGGACTGAACTCTTTTGCTGTGTTGCACTTGCGCCTTTGTCATACATGGATCTTCGAGCCCCTTACGATTCGGTAGTGACCGCCAGCGATGCCTCAGAGAGTGGTGGGGGTCTCTCTTTCAGCTCGGGCTTGACGCACTTTGGGCTTCAAGCATCGGGTAAGTCAGTGCGTGGGGATAGTGGTGCAGGCTTGCTGGATGACTGTCAAGTTTTGGTCATCTCTCTTTGCGATGGCATTGGGTCTTGTCGTGTTGCTTTAGACGTTCTTGGCGCAAAGGTTGCAGGATACGTGGCGGTGGAGCCTGATCCAGCATCGAGGCGAGTGGTTGAGAGCGCTTTCGGGTCCACGGAATTTGTTTCAGCAGTGGAGCATATCTCTGATACGATGGTTAAAAGCTGGGCTTGCAAATACTCCCGATCGCATCTTGTTTTGTTGGTTGCACGACACTTTCCTGGAGCATGCGGCAATCTTTCATCGACTGAACGCGAAGTGGCCAGGATTCGAGCTTTGGTGCAGGCCAACTTTCCGTGGTCTGAGATCTTTATGTTGATAGAAAGCGCCTCCTCATTGTCTGATGCTGACCGTTCTTGCCTGACACGAGCCATAGGTGTCCTTCCTTACGAGCTTGACTCAGTAGGCATCACCCCTTGCCGACGCTCTAGACTGTTTTGGTTTGATTGGGTGATTCAAGCTGAAGATTCAGTCAAGATTGAAAGGCCAATCACTGCTCATGCAGATGATTTCGGGAGGATTGCATTCCTCCTGCCATGCCCTCCTGACCCTTACATCATGCCCGGATGGAAGTTGGCGGGAGGCAGCGATCAGAAGCTTCCGGCGTTCACGAGCTGTGAGCCTCAGGCCAGGGGCAGTCCTAAAACCACAGGGTTGAACTTATGCTCTGTTCGGGATTTGGAATACTGGAAGGAGGATCGTTGCAGATTTCCTCCATATCAGTACAAGTTTCAACATGGGTTGATACACCCCAAACACGGGTGGCGCATTCCAAACATCAACGAGAGAGAAGCCATGATGGGCTTGCCTCTCGACTACACGCATCACTGTTGGGCTAAGGCGCATCGCAAACTGGACCCCGCAGGATGGGAGGATTGTCGAATGAGCTTGATTGGGGTTTCGGGGTCTGTACCGGTTTTGGCTTTTCTTTTGAAGCATCTGCTGGGTCCCCGCGGTCTGTGCAGCAACATGAAAGCGGCAACAATTCAACATCAGTGCCAGCCGGGTGTAAAGCTTCAACTCAATGAATTCCTAGTCAGGCCCCCGTGGTCAGGACAAAATCAAAAGCTAGCTGCCGGGAACGATACAAATTTTGTTCGCAAACTCGGGTCCCTTATGAGTACGAGGGGCAGCGATGTACTTTTGCAATCATCAACAGAACCAGTCAAATCGTACGACAGGCTACGCACCTCGGTGCCATCAAACCTTTGGCGATGGAAAACAGCATGCAGTTGGGCATGGAAACGACCGCAGCTTGGGGCCTCTGAACACATCAATGCCCTGGAGCTTCGTGCGGTTCTGACGGCAATCAAATGGAGAGTGCTGAAGGCGAGAAGTCGTCGC